GGGATTTCCCCCCCGGGTGCTGATGTGGCAGTGATGTCCCTCGTGCCTGTCTTTGCTCCCCCAGTCTGCGCAACAGAGAACGAGCTTGCGCCCATCGACCAATAGGCGGCAAATGTGCCGCTGGGGTGCAATGACCATCCGGGCCAGGTCCAGTCCTCATCCTCACGCGACAACCTCCGCCGTCATCTCCGTCCGCCGTACGGATCCTCGGGACGTAATCGGAGTCATTAGGATCGTCGGCGCCTGTGGTTTCACCGCCCTCAGCGGCTGTGGAGCTGTCGTCGTGGAGGATGATCGTGCCGCCTCGTATCTTCTCACCTCGACCTGCTTCATCCACTCTGTCACCTCCCTCCGCCCCCCCTGTCCATCTGCGGCAGCTGGCATCTGTCAAGTCTCGTCCCTGTTGCGGAAAAAAGGATGCAGGCGGCGCCGGTGATACGGAATCGATACACCTGTTCCCTTCTTCCTCGCCCCTGACAGCCTCGCAGTTGCCGTCCTGGTGTCGTTGACATCGCTCGTCTTGGCCCGTATAGGCCTCCCATGCTCTCGTCGTAAGCTCTCATGGAATCATGACAAGTGCCATCGACGTTGCCAATCGATCGCGCCCCCGCGGGCACATCTGCCGGTCCGTATGCTGATGTCTGTCCGATATCGCCCGCCCTCCGGTCCATGCCCGCACCGTCGTAGAAAGACCTCGTAGGCAATGCGCTCGGCGCGGCCTGCCCGTGGGCGGCAGGATTAGCGACAGAGGGGCGTGAGGGTGGTGGACACATAATGTCACGCATCCCCGTCAAATGCGGTCGAGGCTCATCTGTGTGCCCGTCTCCAACGTCATGTGTGTTGGGCCTGACAATGATGGGGTGTGCGGTCGATGACTCTCTGCGCTCGATGCCCCCCCTGAAGGACTGTCCACCATCTGTGCTCCCTGGCTGCGCTGTATCCTTGCTCATGCCCTCGCCTCCGTCCGAGCGGATAACTCCGGGAGGCCTCGCCTCTAAAGTCTCCGCTGACCCTCGATGTGGCTCTTGTTGCGGGCCCTCCTCTGGTGGATGGACTGATGACACGCCGTCCGATAACAGCTGCGAACCATGACCTCCCTGCGCCAAAAAATCTCCAGACGCTGCCTCTAGTGAACCTTCCAGACTACGTTGAGCTGCGACATGCGGTCCACCACGACGGTTCCGTGCTACCTCCTCCGCCAACCCCTGCTCCACCGCCCACGGTGCACCGACATGAAAAATGGCGGGAGTGCCAGACTCTGGAGGATGCAGTATCGTGTCGCCGCCGAACTCGTATAACCCTCTATCACGACGCGCGTCATCTCGTCTAGCAGGCTCCGGTGGTGCCACAACCGGCAAAGTGGGAGATATCAGTAGCGATATATCGGGCAGAGATGCCAAGGCGGAATCCATGGTGAATAGCTCGTCGGTGGGCGGAAGACTGTTGGGCGGGCAGTCGAGGCCGACGTGGTGGTCCGTTGGAGGACGTTCGTCCTCCCTGTCCTTTCCACAAGTGGGAGTGGGTGCAACCTCTCCCTCCTCTAGACCGCCGTCACTCGTGTGAGGAGGCGGCTCACGTCGTGCCTTGCTATCCTCCAAACCCGCTCCTATGGAGTGGACTGGGGAGCCTGCTGGAGTGCACCGAGTCTGCGCCTGGCAGAGTGGACCGGGTCCTCCGAACTCCGTCTCCTCCTCTGTGCCAACAACCGGCGCTGGCGACCGGGGATGAGCGATCCTGAACCCTGTATCCTCCTCCGTCACTATCACATCAGTGTTCGAGGCTAGCTCCTCTTCATGAACCGGGTCGCGCTGCGTCTCGTTGGAAGGATCTCCCATCTCGTCCTCTGACAMGGCAACCGGGTCCTGCCGCATGTCACGTGCCCCCGTGTCGATCGCAATGTGGACACGACGTCTGCGTACACGAGACGCAATACTGTCATCCCGCCTACCCCCGTGTCTCAACCGCTTCAAAACGTAGCGACCACGCGACATAAAATCGCCGTCCACACGCTCGTCAACCCTATCGCCACGGCACCCGCTCCGTCCACCATCACCCCCCC